GCACACCAGGTAAAAAAAATAAGGAAATCTGAATTAAGTATGGACTTTAATAATAATATATATTAACAATGGTTTATGAGTTGTCACAAATGTGCTATACTAATGTAGGATGTTGATAATAAGGACAACTGGTGTGGCGTATGTGAAAACTCCCTGCAATATCTTCACAACTTTCCCATAAATCAAAAACTATTCTAAAATAAGGGTCTCATTAAAACATACATACACACAGCCACTCTTAGCTGGAGCACAGGCTGTACAAAAACAAGCTTTGGACATATTTGGCCTTTGGGCCATAGTATACCAACCCCTGCTCTAAATTAGCTACTTTCATCCTATTTTGTAGTTGAAGACACTGAGGTTGACGAGTAATTCAAATCTTATCAGAGTTCACCGAACCCTGTTATGAACAATTTCAAAGTCTGTGCCCTTTTCTATCTGTAGCATAAGAAGATGCTTCTTTCCCTGCTCAAAGCCATTCATGACTCTTCATGGACTCTAGGAAAATTCTGGACTCTACAGGCTGGTCATCCAGGCTGTCCACACCAGGACGCTCACTGACCTTCCAAGCCCCCTCTCCTCTTTCTTTCCACAGCCCCTGACTCTGATCTCTCCAAAGAATGACTGGTAAAACAATTCATCCAGTATTGTCTTATGACTCATTGTGTTATGAGCACATACACAACACAATTTCAAAAGCAGTTACATTGCTTTTGGCTGCAAGGACTAGAGTTCCCAATTTTAAATGGCTTAAACTGTCCATTAGAACATTCTGTGATGATGAACATAATCACTGTCCTACATGGCAGACACTCAGTGCATGTGGCCACTGAGCACTTGCAATGCGGCTAGTGCAAGTGAGGAGCTGAAGTTTTTATTTCACTTAACTCTAATCAAAGTTTAAATTTAATTACCATATACGGCTAGTGGCGCTGACCACCACAGAAATGCAATGCAAATCAAAACTACAATGAGATAGCACCTCACAACTCTTAGGATATCTAGTATCAAAAAGACAAGAATAAAAAATGCTGGTAAGGAAATCCTTATACAAGGGAACCCTTGTACACTGTTGGTGGGAATGTAAGCTGATACAACCACCGTGGAAAACAGTATGGAGCTTCCTCAAGAAATTGGAACTACCACATGATCCAGCAATCCCACTTCTGGGTATATTTCCAAAGGAAACAAAATCATTCTCTCGAAAAGATCATCTGTACTCCCATGTGCATTGCAGCATAATTCACGATAGCCAAGTTATGGAAACAACCTAAGTGTCCATCGATAGATGAACAAATAAAGAAGATGTGGAATATTATTGTCTAAAACAGAAGAAAATCCTGTCATTTGCAAAAACATGGATGAGTCTGGAGGGGATTATCTTAAGTGGAACAAGCCAGACAGAGAAAAACAAATGCCTCATGGTATTACTTATATGTGGACTCTTAAAAAATTCAAACTCAAAGAAACAGAGAGTAGAAAATTGGTTGCCATGGGCTGGTGGGTGGGGAGATGGGGTGGGAATGGAGAGAGGCTGGTAAAAGGCTGAACAAACTTTCAGCCATAAGATGAATAAGGTCTGAGGATCTAATGTAGGATATGGTGACTATGGTTGATAACACTGCATCGTATAATTGAAATTTGCTAAGAGCAGAACTTAAATGTTCTCACACACACAGAGAAAAAAGGTAAATAGGGATGTGTTAATTAACTTGATGCAGGGAATCCTTTCACATTGTATACGTGTATCAAATCATCACATTGTACACTAAATATCTTGCAACTGTATTTGTCAATTACACCTCAATAAGGCTGGGAAAAAAATAAAGTACTATTTTAACCACCCCCCCCCCAATAAAAAGCTCAATTTCATCACTAAGCACCAGCTCTCTCCCTTCTCCTCTGACATCCTCAGAATTGCACAGCACCCCCCATGGATGAGGGAGGTGTGCAGTCATTTCAAACCTCTGGTCCTTACATAAAAGCACACAAAAGCAAGAGTAATGGGCAACAAGAAGTCTGTACTCTTGTCTTCTCTCTCTTATCAGGGAGGAAAGTCGTTTTAGGAAGTCCAAGGAGATTTCCTTGAAGGTCCCGCTGACCAACACTAGGCCACACGCTCACCCTAAAAGCAAAGGAAGCTGGGGTAGCAGATACCAGGCATATTCACCCCACAGTGGGTTGAAAGAGGGGTAGAGAAATGGCAGTTGTGGGCGCATCCACAGTGTCTCCCAGAGTGATTGTGAGTGGTTACTTACAATTTTATAATTATTTAACGTACATCTTTCTTATGGTTTTTCTGTTTGCCCCAAGAAGTAAACTGTAAAGTCCTTTAACAGTAAAACTGTGACTTACTTATTTGCACCTGAAAAGGTTTTCAAGAGTTTTATTTTTCAAACCTGACCAACAACATTGTTTGGAAAGAGAATCGATTCAGACTCCCAGCCACCCTTCAGTTCTTGGAGAAAATCACAGCCAGACCAAATGGTTCAAAACATTATAGTCCCATGAAATGAAGAAGCAGAATGCCATTAGAGTAGGGGCACAGTTGGTGATCCAAGGCCAGCCTGACGTTACTAAGTAGAGACCTGGATACAAATGTCAAAGAAACGGGCTCTTGGAAATTAAATTTAAACCACTTGGAAATGATTTATCCGTGTACGCCATTTCCTTGCAAGAATAAAGAGCTCTGAAAAAAACCACAAAATGAGTTGGAGACACTGCTGGACCATTTCTAGGGGGCAAGGATCCCTGTTGTTACATACAGTTGCCCTGTCTTGTGAGAACCCTCACAGTAGAACAGGGCAAATTCCAGCTCTGCTAAGTTGTGAGACTATCACCAGTTCAACAAGTCCTGGGTGGTGGTTTACTCTTGCTTATTAAATGCTTTTTTCACAAATACAGCAAAGCAACAACTTAAACAAGATGGCGGAGTGTCTGACACATCCGGAGCTGTACTCCAACCTTTCCCGTAACTCCTCCACCATCCTCGGTGCATTAACTGCAGACCACAGATACTAAGCTTATTAACCTCCCTTGCGGTATGGTCTGTATCTAAAATAAGAACAAAAGCAACAGCAGTAATGGCTAACCTGCTGACTGCTTAATGCATGCTGGAGGGGGGCTAAGTGATTTACATACATTCTGGTATTTAATTCTCACAATGACCCTCCAAGGGAGGTCCTATCCTTACCCCCATTTTCCAAATTACTGAAGTGTAGGCTCAGAGAGTTGCATGTCCAAAGTTGTTAGCAAGTAAATGGTTGAAGCAAGATTCTGATCCACTCTGCTACAAATACGGGGCTGAATGGCAGTGTTTACCTTTCCTTCACGGGGCTCTTCAAAGTATAATTCTGTACTTGTTTGATTATTAGATGAAGGTCTGGTTCAAAACAAGCTGTGAACCCCCGGCACGAGAATCTTTTTGTGAGGTCCTCGTTGCTCAGCATCTGCCTAACACAGAACAAGTGTACAGTGAGAGGTATTATTACTGAATGTCCAAATGAATAAGCGAAGGTCTTTAAATGGGTTTGGGGTTTGCCTCAGACTGTCAGAAGGCAGATGAGTCAGCTCTCAACCTGAATGAGTGGGTTCCATTAAACTGCTTTAAAAAGACAAATTATAACTGATAAAAGACCAATAAAGGGGTATCACGTCTAATGAATTTAAAAATTTGGAAGACTGAAAATTATTTGAGAGGGTGTGATGGAAGCAGCTTCCAAGTGAAGGTCCCGGCACGACTGACACTGCCCTTGGGCGTGTGGAGGAATCAACAGGAAGGTGGAGTTTAACTTTCGTGGTTTCCAGGCCGTCTCTTGTGGAGGGAGGGCTCCGTGCACTGCACAACCAAGTCTTCCCCCAGAAGACGGAAGGCTCAGAAGATGGAAGGCTCGCATGTGTTCCCATGAATGTTTAACCAGCCCCACTCATATTTTGTTCTTATTTCACTTCCTAACACTTAAACAAACTAAAAACATTACCATATTGCACTGTATCATTTAATAATCAGAGTGTGGCTGTACTGCTATGTCGCTTGTAGGATTGGGGACAGATGTTTTAAGGGAAGAGAAGGAAGGAAAAGCATCTTAAATACTTCTTTTTGCCTAAACCCCTCCTTTTTGCACCTGGTTTCAGGGCTTCTCTTGGTCTTACCAAACGTTCCCATGGGAAGACAAAGTAGGTTTTTTAAAAAAGACTCCGGGACTTTGGGGCAGCATTTGGATGCAAAATGGAATTGAATATAGGGTGGCTGTAAGCTGCCTTCCAGTTTCTAAGGACCTAGGTGCTGTTTGCTAAGGCAATTTCACTTGGCCCCCATAGGAGAACAACGTATATGTTCCTTGAAGCTGTAGGTTCTCTGCACATCACGTCTAGAAGTGTTTCTCAATTTCAATGTACCTCAACAGTTCTATGTGCTGCATTTCACTGGCAAATTCTGATGCAAGAGTTAAGATGCGGATTCTTGTTATTTCTTCCACCTTTCATGTTTACAAGACAGTCTGGATGGTTCCCTGACAACTGGGAAGCCAGGAGTGCTCCCAGAAGGCACAGGGAATGGCTCCAGCAGCCACCAAAATGTACTCCTTGGAACATATAAAATGTAAAAGACAGTAGGATTGTTTGTTTGATAATCAGTATCAAACCCAAACGTTTTACATGATTAAAAAAAAAAAAAGAGAGAGAGACAAGTGCATCCTTGACTTGGTAACATTTATTCAGTATCCTTTGCAATTAGCAAGAATCAGAAGAAGCACATATCTATCAAATACAGCCACAAAAATGTCCTGGATATAAATAAAGATGCACTTTGAGAAATACTCACTACCGAAGGAACGGGTACGCTCTTACATTTACAGCCCCTTAGCAAGGAACAACTATAAAAACCTTGACTTGCAAAGGAAAATACAGATTCAATTGGATCATAATTTGCCTCACTAGGCCCTGTCATCATGTATGTTTTCAAGGCCTAGCCTGACAAATGTTACGAAAATGACAGAAAGAAACTCAAGCGAATGTTTCCAGTTTCCACAACGTTCAACAAAACAGTGCAGAAATAAGTTACTTACCCATGCACAGAGTAAGGCAAAGGCTAATTTCATACGGGTTAGGAATAATAAATTTAACTAGTTTCTTTTTCACAGGACAAACACTTCAGACTTCTTTTTAAGTACTGGGTATACTGTATTATGGTTCATATTCTACATGTGTTTCCTAACTCTACTCAAAAAGCCAACACTCACACGTCAAATACGAACTTGTCCTCGCTTAGACTTATTCTGTCCCAACCGCAGAAAACAATCTGGGTTTCGTAATAATATCTACCGTGGAAAGTGCACACACTAGTCGAAGCATATAGTTTAGAGAGCTGAAAGTACGTTAAAACGTAGTCTAATGGACGTCACAAATTCCGTTTTTAAAATATTTTTTTCAAACCAAAAGCTGCAGAAAATTAGTTCTTAAATATTCTACCGAGAACTCTTGAGCAGCTAACGTTCTAAATTTCTTAAGCTTTCCATTTTCTTAAAAATATTTAAATGAATGTCATAGCCCATCTTTTTTGAAAAATAATCCCCCAAAAGATTACAAATCTTTTGTTTTAATCAGTGTGACCAAGGGCTTGTCATCGGGGCTGTAATCCTCATAGGCGATGGGGGTCACATCATACATCGCAGGCCGGGATTTCTTTCCAAACCTGAAATCACAGGGAGGGAGGACTCTGGTTAGAGAACTGTTGGCTCTCAAGTCCTGTTAGAGGTAATTGGTGACAATAACTTATCTTCAAGGATCAAATGGAACTATAAAAGTACTCTCAAATATCCTCTCTAGCAAGTACAGAAATTTAGGACTTCTTGACATTAACATTGAATGAGTATAAATATTAGCCTCTGGCGTGGGAGGGCAAAAATTGGATTTCACAGAACGCAGAGTTCACATTAATAGCGAAGCTTGTGGGTTACATCTCAGAAGAGCAGTCAGGCGTGACGGCTCTACAACAGGTCTCCAGAAAACATGTATCCATTTGTCTTCTTCTCAGACCCAGAGCGATCTGGAGAGGCAAGTTTATTTTACATCCGCTCTAGTGCCTGGAATGCAGAGTGGCAGGGTGGGCTTCTCTGGATTGTGCACAGCCTCTCCCCTGGGACTTGCAGGAGGGCTGTGAGGGCTCAGAGTCCACCTGAGGTCCCAAGACAGAGAAAGGCAGAGAGAGGAAATGACTTCAAATAACAAGGTGTTAGTCTACAATCTGTGCGGGCAACCCCCCATCCGATGGCACCCACCTATCACTCCCCAACGCCCATGTACACACAGGCCATTCTTCTCTGAGCACAAAGCCACTGTCCCAACAGACTTGTATATATCAAAAACCCCTTGACAGCAGGACTGAAGCGCAGAAGCCAGGAGTGTCAAAATCCAATTTCAGGACTTCCCGCCAAACCAGTGTTAAAACGGCGATTATTAAAATAAAGCCAATTCAGCTTCTGGGTGGTCTCTTCCCCATCAAGGCCTCACCTTCCCTAAAGGCCCCTGGAGTGCAATGTGATTTAAACAATCTTCCCCACTAGCCTGCCACCCCTCCTCCCTTTTATAAACAACATTTTTTAACTGTTTCAAGTCCAATGGAGCCTATTAAAAAAGAAATTTTAAAAGAATCTCAAATTTTAAAAGGATTGCCAGGATGGGCCCCCAAGGACTTCTCCGGGCTGATTTCCCATGGCTTTAATCCCATCTCCCCACCTTTCCTAGCTCTTATTTTTATATCTTGGAAAGTCTGTCTTCTCACATACAGAGATGAGAAGTAGAATCACGTGGGAAGTGAGAAAACGTTGCCTTCTTCATATGATCTCTTATTTTGAAACATTCATCAGTCTTGTATTCCAATTCACTCAAGATTTGCTGGCCTTCCGGAGTCGCAAAGGCACAGATCATGCCAGATAGGCACCAGGCAAAGTGCAAAGATAAAGAGTTAAAGCATTCTGCCACCAAGAAACCACAGCTCTTGAGGCACTATGAACAAGTCTTCGATAAAATTATGTCTAACGTGTTAGCCTCACTGAAGGTCCGGAGTTGTGTGGGCATAAATATGGCTTGGACTCCAGCCTGACGTCTGTTTATCTAAACTGACTGAGGTCTGCACAATCTGAGAAGAGGAAATGGGCAACAATACAAAAGCCAATTGGCTCTTAACACTTTCTCCCAAGTCTGAAGATTTCGGAGGCTACTTAAAGGAGCAAGCATTTTGACAACCTATTTCTCATAAAATAGCTAGCTACGCCGGCAACAATACACCACCAATAATATTAATTTAATTCATTTTAAAAATCAGGAAATCCCAGTGTAAAGCCCTCTGTATCCAAACATGGTAGCCATGGGACGGTTTCCTGCAGGAACTTCAACGGGAGTGTTGTCGAATCCTATGCAGCCTATGAATCAATCGGTTGGCCAGCAGGAAAAATCCAAGCAACGTAATAAGTTGAATACAGGTTTACAATACCCATTTAATTTTTTATATGATTCCAGTTTGAGGAATAATCTGTTTCCTCCAAATCTAGAAAGTTGAATGCCCCCGTGTTGGGCAATCCATCCACAAGCTGTAGTTCAAAGGGCCGTGATCGTACGTTGCTGTCCCGCAGCTGGATATTGACAAGGCAGGTTTGAGGATGAGCGCGTTCCAGATCCACTGAGCACAGCAAAGCAAGAGCTGAAAGCACTCAAGAGCTGCCACGTGTCCTCTGTACACACACATAGTCAACTGAAGGACGACAAGCATTGCTTCGTGTCTGCATGGGAAACTCAGCCTGGATTGCAAAGTGTAACACTGGTGCAAGGGTACCTGGTGAAAGTACGACTAACACCCCCAGCACAGCTGGAGCTGGATTCCTTGCACTATGACCTAACCAGCTCCTGAGAAGCCTCCAAATTCCTTAGGTGAGACACAGAAATCCCCACCCAAAGTACAGCATCTACTATATGGAAGCTAAGATGTGAAACGAAGTAAGATTCTCCTTCAGTCTCCCACACCTATCAGAGTAGTGATCTCAGAGTTAGTGCAAAACAAATGTGCATTCATACTTAAATTTCCAGCGCTAACAGCTTTTTATATTTCCTTAGTGTCTCAGAATTGGGAGGATGTTAAGGAATAAGCTAATACCTATAGAATTCCATTTTAAACTCTCAGGCACTAAAACAATGTCAGAGCTTGCCTACGTTAAGGCAGGAGTTTTTATGCAACTGTTCTTTTTTTAAACAATGCACTGTTTTTCCTTACCCTAAAGGGACATCTTAATTGCTTAAAAAAAAAAAATTGGAAGCTAGAGAAAATTAAAATGTAGACCTTGGATTAGCAAACTATAATCTGCAAGCTAATAATAGCCTGTTGCTTGTTTTTCAAATAAAATTTTATTGGAACACAGTCTGTGCCCATTCATAATGCCTCTGGTGCTTTCTCACGACAAAGGCAGAGCTGGTCACAAAGACCCAGAGGCAATACGGCCCACAAAGTCTAAAATGTTTCACAGGCCATTGATGAAGACCATTGATAAGGGTCACCCGCAGTCTCTCTGCAAAGGATTTGGCATCGTGTCTGGCTGTGTTAACCATTGCAGAAGCACTAACAGCAGTTGTGCAGCCGTGGTATCAATGTTACCGACAGCTCAAACATCATAGTTGGTGACCAGTCTTGTGCACCTTATTTTACTAAAGAAACAAAAGAAACTGAAACCAGTTATGAGGGAGGTCAAAGTATGTACATTCTTCTAGTTCATATTCCCCTGGAAGTCAACAGCTAAACAATACCTCCAGGAACGGCAGGTGGATGTGAGCTTTAAAAAGGCCCACATCGGGAGATGCTGTTTGAGAAAAAGCGACTCTGTCCTTTCCCAGCTCTCTTCTTGTTTGTTTGTTTTCTGTGATCGGGCACTTATAGCTGGTAGAGCAGTAAGCAATCAGCAAGCGAAGTGTGACCTCAGATGCAGAACTTAGAGAGCTGTGGCTTCACTCCTGCCAGTCTGTCACAAAGTCTTTGCAGCCTGAGTGTAAGCAAAGCGGCTGCGGAACATAGGAAAGGAGGCGGCTCCCTTCTCAACCCAGCACCAGCACCAGCCGACTGCTGACGTCAGAATCACCAGACACTTCCCAGGTCACTAGGGAACGTCACAGATGACCCCGTCAGGATTCATCCTGTGCAGCTGCTCAGCTGCAGTCATTCTGATCCAATGTCACCTCCAGGCTAGTGGCAGGGAGACAGGCCATGAAATGCATGTTAGCTATAGGCTGATGCTCAAAACTAGGAAGAGGGGAATTGCAAAAGGACTCAGTTTTTGTCAATGCCTTTCCAGCGTCTCCAGGAAAAGGGGCAAAAGGGCCAACCAGCCAGAGATCCAGCCAGGGCCTCTGGAGAACCACGCTGTAGAAGCCACAGGTCACAGCCGAATAAGCGTTTAGACAGGAATGTTCTCAGATATTTGGGAAGGCGCTGTATGAACATCAATGGTTTTATCTGCAGTCACTGGTGCGTGCAGGAGCTTGTTGGTTAGGAATTCTGCAGTAAATATTTTTGATAAAAATCAGTACCGAATAAGAGCCAGGTTTGTAAATGCTTTCAAATTTATTCTTTCCTTCCAAGAGTATTCAGTTAAGTATCTTTTCAGCGGCCTATATAAGCAGGAAGCCCAGAAGAACCTACCTTAACTTATTCCAGGGCTGAGATAAAATACGCTTCTCCCTCTTCAATGCAAAAGGACCTTAGTCAGAGATTCCTCCAGGGTAGGGGAGTGTGGAGGGATTGTGATTTCCTGGGTCTCCCAATACATCCCCGTATAGAGCTATGGATTCTACTCTTTCCTGGTGAACTAAGCCCCTTCAGGAAGACTTTTGAGAAACAAATGAATTTGTCTACCCTCCTTTTCTTTTTACACCCTCTACCTCTCATCCAATGTTTTCAAGATACTCCAAATACTCCTGCAGGCTGGTACCACTTACAAAGCTGGTGCCCTTCTCAGGCAGGTCAAGACATCCTATGCCAACCCCTCACCGAGATCATCCATTCATTTCAGACCTCAAATTTTCGTGAGGTCTACCATGCGCCAGGACCCACTGGAGATACAGTAATAAAACGCACTGCTCTTTACTCAAGAGGAAAGAGTCAAATAAGCAATTAAGATGAGGTTGCAGGGATTCACCTCAACGTTTCCTGGAAGCTGTGTTGCTGAGTTGTTGACTCTTAAACAAAGGCTCCCACAACGAGGCTGATCTTTAGGGCTTGACCGGGAAGAGGGTTAACTCTCTCTTCTCCCCCAAAGTTACAGAAGTAAGGCTAGTGCAGCTCCCACAAAGAAGCTGCCCTGGGCTTTGGGGCAGATGCTCTATATCTCCCAACTTCTCTCATCCACTGGCTCCTCTCCTTGGAAACCAGGTTCTGGTTTTTGTTTCCCCTGGACTCACTCTAAGACCTCAGTCTTAGGTTTGCGGGTTTCCTTTGGAAGAAAACTAACTTTCCGAACCTCTGAGCTTCTATGCCATTCAGACAGAATTTGGATCTGCCTGTGTCTTGAACAATATCAATCACGACGTCCCAACAAGGATTATGCAGGTAATAGCTCCCTGGAGGCTCAATCTTAAGACACTGGGCTCAGCCCACTTTTTGCTACAGCGCACTCACTTTCTGAACTGTGTGCCTTAGATTGTTCTACCAATTGAAGGAAAAGATGATGCTTTTAATACACAATATCACTATTATTTTTTTAGTAAATACTCCTTGCAAAACTCAACAAAATTAATTGATTTTTTCCGTGTTGCAATAGATTTGGAGAAGTACATGTGGTGTTATCTGTTTATACAATCTTTTAGTATATTTGTAATTTAATTTGATTGTCATAACTCTTTAAGGAGGTAGTTCTCCCTTCCCACAGCTGAGGGAACTGTATTTGTGGAAGGTTAAATCATCGGTTTAAAATACAGTCAGGGACTCCCCTGGTGGCACAGTGGTTAAGAATCCACCTGCCAATGCAGGGGACACGGGTTCGAGCCCTGGTCCGGGAAGATCCCACATACTGCGGAGCAACTAAGCCCATGCGCCACAACTACTGAGCCTGCGCTCTAGAGCCCACGAGCCACAACTACTGAGCCCATGTGCCACAACTACTGAAGCCCTTGCGCCTGGGGCCCATGGTCCGCAACAAGAGAAGCCACCACAATGAGAAGCCTGTGCACTGCAATGAAGAGTAGCCCCTGCTTGCCGCAACTAGAGAAAGCCCACACGCAGCAACAAAGACCCAAAGCAGCCAAAAATAAATAAATCAATAATTATTAATTAGTTAATTAAAATAAAATACTGTCAGGTAATGGAGCAGTCAGGCTTAACGATGTCACTCCAACACCCAGACTCACGCTCTTTCTATGATACCACACTAATTCCTGTCTCTACAGGAGCCTTTCCCCCAGGAGAGGACACTATCTTATACAATACGAACTCTAACAGCCAAATGACCATCATTTGACTTTCTTTAAATAAGCCCTTAAATCAAATGGGTAATTTATACTCACATTGACTGTTAGAAGAACAACACAGCTAAACACATCCCCCCAAAAAATCATCAAACAATGTTTCACAACTCCTAGACATTGTTGTCTAGGTAGTAATGTAGTGATAAAGAAGTGAACATGTATAGGAGACCATATCAAAAAGCCAATTATGATGACATGGAGAAATAGAGGGAGTTTGGGTTCTTGAAGGTATTGTTAAGTCATGAAATGAAGCAACCCTAGCAGTATTATATTTTAGACTTCTTATGGGAGATGCAGTCATTTCAGCATAATAAGGCATGAAACAAAAATTAAATTAAGATCATAAACTATAAAAAAAAATATTTCACACACAGTGATGAAGAGTCAGATATTTATAACAGAGATAAACACAAAATGAATGAATGCATTCAATGAAAACAGAAAGCCAGCAGCAAATTAAAGGGGTTTGCTTATGAAACAGCCTAATTATCTGGTCTCCCAACACTATCTTGAACTTGTGTTTTATTCTTTGAAACCCTCCTTGGGGATGTAAAGTCCTGTTCATAACGTAACCCTGATACTGAGGATGCACATGTGAGAGCAGCACCTCCCTTCCGCCTCCTCCCGCCGCCCACCTGGCATGCCGGATGGAGGCGATGGCACTGCTGAACTCGCTGTCGATGCTGCGGCAGTTGTAGAACTCCTCATAGGCCGGCCTGGAAGAGCCCTGGTACTCGATGCGGCTGATGCGGCAAATCCCCACAATCAGGATGACGAGCATCAGGATGAAGGCGACGCAGAGGGCGCCGATGATGATGTAGAGGGAGTGCCGGGGCATGTTGGTGAGGCTCTCCGCCATGTGCCCGGACTTCCACTGGATGTCTGAAGGCAGAAATAAGCAAACGGCTGTGGATGAGTTGTGGCCTATTGAATGGGAAGGACTTTCCTGTCTTCACATCGGGAACCTAAAATATAAGTGCTGCCCAAGCTGGGAAGAATTGTTTTCTATGGATAATCCAGACCAAAGGCCTTACTGTATACGGACCTCTTACAAATCATTAAGAAAAAACAGGAACATGCCATAGAAAAATGCACAAAGAACATAAAAATGAATTCACCAAGGAAATACAAGTAGAAAATTGTTTAGCTTCATAATTATTTTAAAAAATGCAATTCCTATATCAGTTCCCAAATATTATTTTTAAATTTTGATAACCACAGTTGACAGGGGTACAGAAATGGGGACTCTGTGAATGGATACATGATCCCTGTGCAGACTGCATGGAGTTTCCTTTGACCCAGAGATTTCAATGTTCAGAATTTATGCTGAGGAAATGGTCCTATAAATGCATAAAGCCCTGGGTGCAAGGATGTTCATCTCAGCAGCACAATTTTTAAATGTTAGATTATCAACTATCACACATTTAGAAAAAAGTTCAGAAAATAGCACAGACACCCATGTACTCACCACTCAAAGTTAATAAATGTTCCTATTTGACCTTCTTTGCTTTATATTTTTAAAGGTTTTTTTTTTTTAAGAAATAAAATATTATAGATATAGCTAGAGTCTCTCAACCCCATATTCTCTCTCTACCCCACCAACAGACAACACAATTCGTAAAAGTGGAAAAATGGGAAACAACCTAAATATTCAACTCTTAGTGAGACGGAGAGATATTCACCAAATAGCAAAAGAAAAAAATTAAAAAAACAAAGGGTTACCGAACAGAACCTAGTTGTAGAGTACAATCACATATGAGCTTCCAACGTCTACCTTACTGAAAAGCTCAGGCTGGAGTGATATCAGTGATGAACATTTGTTGTTTTCTTACTACCCTAAGCTTTTTGAAAACATCTCATTTAATCATCACAGCCCCCGGAAGATATATTATTCCTTCTCCCCACTTTACAGACAATGTCTAGGAAGCTGACATCACTTCCCGGGTGAGCACGTTGGCAAGTTTGGGTCCAAGTTCTTAGCCTCTGCCTCACACAGCAGTGTGCTAACGACAGTGATCTCTGAAAATCAGGCCTGCGAGGGATTTTTATTTCCTTCTTTACACATCTCAGTCTTTTCCGACTTAAAAAAAAAAGAGAGAAGAATGCAGTCCGTTTGTAATAATTAAAAAGTAAGCAATAAGTCATTTGAAGAAAACACCCATGGGATTATCTTCCAGCATAACTAGCAGAAGGGGTGTGAGCCTTGGGCTCACACTAACCTTGCTTTCAATCCCAGCTGCAAGGTTTACTTGACCTCCCTGAGCCTCAATTTCTTCCATTATAAGATGAAAATTGCAACATATACCTTATAAGCTTGCTGTGAGCTATTAAGTTAGAAAACATGTAAAGAAAAGTAAGAAAGTCCACTGCTGGGCTCATGGTGGGTGGTCCCTAAGGAGGAACAGCTGCAGTGGTGGAAGAGGGAAGGATACAGAGTAGGAGGACCCTGTCCTCTGAGGCACACACTCTGAGCCGAGGATTATCGGGCATTGCCCTGTGCCCATTCAAAAAACACCAACCTGGATGGGCAGGAAAAAAGTGGATGGATGGACATAATCGCTGTATCTGGCACAGGTCAAGAGTGTCTAATTATGTCCCGTTTACGGACCTGCATACAAATGGAATGGTTCAGATGATGTGACCAGGATTTGAAAGGAAGCTGTGAAGATTACAAAGGGCTAGATAAGCTCAAAGAGAAACTGAACTTGGGAAAGAGGATGCCTTCTCTATTTCACTCACACCGCCACCTCCACCACCATCACCATCACCTCCAGGCCATGATTTCCACCTTAGGACTCTGGGTGCTTGGAAATGGGATTCAGGGGTGGGTGGGAATGGGCCTGTCTTCCTGTGAAATCCTCAGGCCTCACTGTTCCACTTTAGGTGAGAGTATTTGTCACCTCTGGGTCCTCATACTCTCATCTTAGCGACATCTTCAGTGACACTGGAGTCTCAGAATCAGCTATTCTTTCCCTTCAAACGTTACGATCTGCACAAGAGCACAGGTAAACACCCAAACAAGGATCCAAGTGTGCAGACCTTTTTCCTAGAAGCCTAATGGAAAACTGACCCATGCCCTGAGCCTGGCTGGTTCCTGAGAGTTTGAGAAGAACGGGATGAATGAAGTGACTTCTGAGCGTGTGTCCAGATCTTCTGGCTCCTGAGTTTTACACCAAGGCCCTCGAAGTCTGGTTTTGCCACTCGAGCCTGCCTTCCTGATCACAAAGCCTGTGCAGCCAACGCACACACAGGCAGATGGAACGACATAAATCACTGCAAATAAATGGCCTCAATGGAAGAGAGGGAGTGTTTCATGAAGCCAAGACTCAGTCCCGGACTGGCAGCCCTTTCATCTGGCAGTAACCTGGTGCACATGGAGAGAGACAAGTCATCTTTCTGGCTGAAAGAGAAGCATGACTCACTTGATTTCCAAGTATTTCAACATTCTCTGAAAAATTCAGTTGTAGGCCAGAGTCCAGCACTCACAGGGTGTGCTATAACACTCACTGAGCATTGTCACGAGGGCAGCCAATACTGTTTCTACTCCAGCTCGGTGGAGCGCTCAAATCTGATCATGTGGCAGCCACACAAGTTCTTGATGAGTTCCTATGGTCAATGCACACCTTCGTGTAAATAGCTTACACATCACACTGATTGTGTATACACAGCCAGTGCACAACCGCACACAGCCACTGAAGCAGAAAACCAACTGTACTAGGTTGCGTGCTCAGCACACTGCCCCAGGCCCAATAAGCTGCCTAAATAGCTTGCATTTCTGACCGTCTGCTCTATTTCCCCAAACTCTGAATTCCAAGCTGTTTGGACTTTGGGGAAAACTTTCTCAAAATTTCTCCTGAACCTCTGTTTCTCCTCCCTGCCCCTGCCCGTTGCTTTTTCCACCCTATTGTCATCTAAAACTTGTCTGATAAGTGAATGTGGCTGCTTTGCACGTTAGGTGGATTAGCAGGCAAGCTGGATCTGAATAAATCCAACATTTGGTCTGCGAGGCAGCAAATGTATCTGCAGCAGGTGGCTGCAGCTGCCATCTCCCGGTCCATAAGTCATCGCTCTGCCGCGTACAGGGAGTCCCGGTGCATGAATCATTTACTATAGTGGCTGCGGCAGGGCTCGGGGAAAAATCATGCACCAGAGCTCACTGGAAGGGATGACCTCACCAGCCCCGGCAGGTGCATGACCAGGAACGCACGCACACCAACTGTTCAGGGAAAATGTCGCACTTTTGGGTCTCAGGCGCATTTGCATTTCGGTTTAAACTCAATCTGTTTGAGGTTTTGTATCTTCTAAAGTGCTTTCGCCTTTAACATTTCAATCAGTACGAAAATAGGAGCTACGTAGGGGCTGGACTCGGAGCCTCTGCTCAAGGTAAAGCAGGCAGTCAGCGGCCAAGCTGAGGATAAAACGAGACCCACCGACCACCTCCACTCCACCAAAAAGAGACCTCATTCGATAGACAAATTTAATTCTAAAATACATTTCCCATATCTGTTTTTTCATTTACCCAGGTGAATCTAGCTAGACTAATTTTGTCCACCTACTTTTTAAGTTTTTTTCAGACTTAAAAAGAGTCTGAAAGTAAAGGAATGAAAGTCTGTTTTGAGTAGATGTCACTTAGATAGCTAGATAATATTTGAACCATCTGCAGCCTAGAATAACTGTGAGGCGGGATTTCAAATTTATGTTTTCTGTAGCTAAAAGTTAGGTGGACAATCAAAACAGTCAATGAGACTGAAAAAAGTTAACACTCTCATTAATCTTCAGAAGATGCAGACGCGGGGGGAATGGAAGGCACAGCTCGCCTCCCTCCTAGCGATCCCATCACTGAACCAGTTATCAATAAGCACCTACTATACGTTGAGCATGGTGCCGAGTGCCTGGGATACAAGGGAAAACTGAGAGAAAAGTGGGCTAAGCCACTTGGCTAAGTCCAAATGTGCTAAGCCATGAGGGACCAGAGCGGCACTGCTTCGAGAGGGCACGAGGGAATCACCATCTAACTGGGGAATCAGGAGAGCTTTTATGATGGGGGTCCGCAGCAAGCGTGGCTCTAAGGGTGAGTGCATAGTCACCAGGGATGGAGAACAGCAAAGGGAAGGCTGTCCCAGGCAAAGACCTGGGAGGAGGTGGAAAACAGAGTGAGGAGCTGGAAGGAGGACAGGGTGGCCGCTCAAGGCAGCAAGGCAGAGACTGTCTGAGTGAAGACGGGGCACCTCCCCACAGTGTAGGGGCAGCCCTCCCAGTGCCACAGGCAAGAGTGTGGCCTTTGCTCTTTAGTCACTGATGTATTTTATTTTATTTATTTATTTATTTATTTTGCGGTACGCGGGCCTCTCACCATTGTGGCCTCTCCCGTTGCGGAGCACAGGTTCCGGACGCGCAGGCTCAGCGGCCATGGCTCACAGGCTCCAGCCACTCCGTGGCATGTGGGATCTTCCCGGACCGGAGCATGAACCCGTGTCCCCTGCATCGGCAGGTGGACTCTCAACCACTGCGCCACCAGGGAAGCCCCACTGATGTACTTTAATAGCAACTTGGTGTGGGCAAGGATGCAAACAGTGGTTGCAGGGAGGGTCTGAGGGTTCAGATTTGCACTTTGAAAAGATGCCTCTGTCATTTACGACCACATAGATGAACTGGAGGACATTCTGCTGAGTGAAATAGACCAGACACAGAAAGACACATATTGCATGATGTCACTTATATGTGCAACATATAGGGAAAAAAAAACCCCAGAGAGTAGAATGGTGGTTACCAGAGGCTGGGGAGAGGGGCGGGTGATGGAAGGAAGGGAGGGAGGGAGGTGTGTATTTTACCACAATGAAAAAACTTTTTAAATAATGAAAAGGTAAAATACTTTTGGAAAA